TAATCCCACTTAAAATTTGTGTTTGAGCGTTAAAAATAGTCTTTCAAAAAGTTCATTTTTTTATTTAAAAATATAGTCTCTCAAGCCAAGCCAACAGTACTGACCAGATCTAAGCCACGACCAGACATGGATTCTTAGAGACAACTACTAAGCAGTAACAAATCTTTGTCTTAAAAATGAAAATTAAAAATACAATAAAGAAAATATTCCAAATCTGAGTAAAACCCCTTTCTTTTCATACTTTCACACTCCCTAAGCTTCTTCACTTAACTCTCCAAAAGCCTCCCCTTTTCTCTCAGTCTGTCTGCAAATTCTCTTATTTTTTTCACATTTTGAAAGTCTTGCTCAACTCTAAGGAAGAAAGAAAAGAAAAGAAAAGAAATGAGGGGTCCTTTGGTTGTTAACTCTAGCTTTGGGTTTAACCAAGGAAATCCATTGAGGTAAATTGAGATTGATGAATGAATGTAAGTTACAATTATATTTAACTTGTTCCAATTGGTGTTGTTCAATTGATTGGTATTAGATTTCTTAAGTAATATCATATGTTCATATCTACAGTATTCGATCTGAATTAGTCTATTAATAGATCGATTAGTAATGATTAATTAAAAAAATAGATAGTCCCATAATTGACTTGTTTTTATTAGAAGACTGTTGTTTTCTGGGGCTGAATGGCATATAACATAGCTTTCATACAGCTCAATCCATAAATTGTTTTTTAATTTGGCATTAAAATTTTCATTTTATATAATCCCACTAAAAATTTGTGTTTGAGCATTAAAAATAGTCTTTCAAAAATTTTATTTATTTTTGTTTAAAAATATTGTCTCTCAAGCCAAGCCAACTATACTGTCCAGATCTAAGTCACGACCAGACATGGATTCTTAGAGACAACTACTAAGCAGTAACAAATCCTAAATAAAGAAAACTATTTAGTCAATCTCACTTTTGTCATGTTTAACTAATTTTCTCATAAGTCGAGAACTGAAGCGATACTCAATTCCAACATGTGAATTGAAAAACACCTTAATAACTTTGGAATATCTCTCTCAATCTCTGCGCTTAATTTCAAAATCAAAACAGTTTTCAAAATCAAAGATTGACTTTGGTCAAGATGTTGTGATTAAATGTATGGGAGGAAGGGTCGACTTAGTGAAAGCACATTCGACTTCCTGGGAACACACTTGGCAAGATTGCCTTGCCAAGAGGAAATTGAGATCGGAATTAGTAGTTATTGAAACAACAATCCGAGTCAGTCTTCACAAACTTAAACGTTTATTGATATACAATAATTGATGTTGATCAGATCAATTTTAGAAGCCGTAATCAAAGATTGCCTTGGTATTTGATATATAAAGAAGAGTCACGATGATGACCCTTGTAGACAAATTAGCCGACGTGAATCCTTAAGGGAAAATCTAATTCGATGATCCGGAGAAAATTGAGTCAAAGCGAAGCTTGAGACTGTTTTTACCATATTCATTTTCAACCTTCAATTTTTATTCTCTTTATTTTTCTTCACTTTTTATTATTTAACCCTTTTTACCAACCCCTTTTACTACTTATCGCTTGATTTAAGTCATTCAAACATAAATTTGAAATTTTCTAAGTCCTTGAGAATCGACCCTTACTTCTATTTACTACGTATTTCCTTTATTTATTAACTGAGAAAAAAGAAATTATTTTGACATCAAAACGACAGTTGTCACTCACCAACCATATTTACAGGTAACGAAACCCCATTACCTACGACCAACTTACCAGGGTTGCTACAATTCAAGTGATTAGCAAACTTGGTAGAATTTGGCGTGATATGGTGGGTTGCTCCTGAATCCACAACCCATTGTTCTTGCATAACAGCAGTAACATGTTCTTGAGATTGAACAATGGACTAGTTACTATCACGTGGTTTAGCCTCATTGCCACAACAACCACATCCCATGTTATCACCATCATATGTAGAATAATAGGTAGTTAACGAGCCACCCTTGTTCGAGGATTGATTATCAAAGGAAACACCAGGAAAATCTTGATCAAAGCGACGCCAACACTGACTGACCAAGTGCCTATTCTTACCACACAATTGGCATTGCACGGATAACAACAATAAACGACCGGTATTTTCTTGGAAGTCCTTAAAAGGAATGGGACTTCCACACGATGCCAAGGCATCACAAACTTCTTTCACACGGGTAAGATAAACCCTCATACTATCCTCCCCTTTCTTGAAAGACTGGAGCTTATAATGTAAGCTCATCACAGCAGTCGCAGATCGGTTTGCAAAGAATTGAAGCACTTTACTCCAACACTGACAGCAGTTTCAGCCCCAACAAAGTATGGCAGTAAGTGAGCATTCATTGTCGACAAAAGCCAAGACGCGACCGCATTATCCTGTGCTACGATCTCCTCATATTCATCGTTCAGAATCACAACACCATCATCATTGATAACAGTTTCTGGCGATGGCATCATTGTACCAGTCAGCATCCGCTCTAACCGATGACTCCTGACTGTAGGCAAAGCTTGCTACTTCCATAATAGGAAATTCATCTCATCAAGAACTACATTTACTCTTTTATTGGTAAAGGCTTTGGCATTTCTTGAGGAAAATTCCAACGACACAGCAACATACTCCAGGCTTTGAGCCATAACAAGAATAGAGCTATGCAGCGAAAGATTCAGAAAAAGAGCCCCAGGAAAGCAGCGAATGATACCATCTTGTAAAGTAAGAACTTACAGAGAATATTGAAGAAAATATAACTACTTCATATATTCAAGAACCTGATACAACAAAACCTTATATACATTCCATGCACACGTGAACTATTAAGCTGAAATTCTCACACAAAAACTCTTAAACTCAAAAAAAAAAAAATAGAAAGCGCATCATCGCGCAAGACTCACCAGTCACCAAGGTAAAGATCAAACCGATAAGGGGAAAAGCCGACAAAACAAAGTTGTTTTAGGGAAAATCTTAGGTCTGATGAGCTTCACCGTCAGTTAAAAATAAGGTAGAGTGTATGCTCCTCAGCTCCTGTGAAAAACGAAATGTTAAACTTGAAAATGAGAAGACTTGGGATTTAAGACTTGGAGAAAATTATATTAGAATATTAAATAGCTTCTGGTGATTTCTTTTGTTTTTGTGTTTGATTTTTAATTCAAAAAACAATAAGTATATTGTTTTGGGCCGTCCACTTATATGTTCCATTTTTTATTTTTTAAATAAATTCTTAAATATTTTAAGGGATATATTAATTTATCATCACTCCCATCTTTTAGAATTTATAATTTAATCCTTACTTTAGAATATAAACTTTAATTTTTATTTAATTTAATCCTAAGTTTGTGTTCTATAAGTTTATACTTTTATTTTAATTCTATTTAATTTAGTTGTGTTCTATTCAATTTAGTCGTGTTGCGGCTTTAATTATTATACATCATAGTTTTATGTTTTTACTTTAATGATTGAACATCTTATTTCTTTTAAATATACAATAATGTATTCACAATGTCATCAATTCTTCATTAATTATCTTACCCTATCATCGGATTTTTAAAGTCTTCTATCTGGTAAAACAATATTATATATATGTCATTTTCGGTTAAAAACATTCTAAACATCATTAAAAATGACTAATTATAATTATTATATTTTACGATAAGTTGTGCGAAATTTAAAAAAATTTACAACCGCAACACCCGCAGTGACCGCGACCGTTATGTCCGCAACCGCGATAAACGCGACGCAACCGAAAACGCGGCCGCGAACTCTATTTAAATCCCTGATATCTAGTTCTGTTATGTTCCGAATGATATCGATATGCTGGTTGATATTATTTTTGCATATATATATGAACTAGATATAATTCTGAAGCTATTTTGTATATGTTGCTTGGAGTTATTGTACGCAATGTTCAAAGCTTCTCAAAGGCAGCTAATAGTTTTGAATAATATGCAGATAGATATATTGATTCAATTCTTAAATAAATGAATCCTTAACATTTAAACTTAATTAATGTGGAAATTGTGCAAATTATATATAAAATGAAAATAATTAAAGCAATCTATAATTAAATATTTTTTATTGATAAAGAACACAAGATAATAATTAAGCACTAAATTGTTATGTCTAAGTGTGAGTGCTGCAGCTGCGTAAGGGGGTGTCAGGAATCATTTTTCGCCGATAGATTTGTCACGGTTCATCTTCGCCATTTTAAAGTGAAAATCACAAATAAATTAGAATTCTAAATGAATATAGTGTTCGATGAACTGTTCGTATAACGTTAGTTTGTTAAGCTAAATAAACGAGTATGAACAATTTTTATGTTTATTTAATAAACACACGAACACAAACAAACAAGCTCATTTATTGACTCGTTCATTTATGTTCATGAACAAGCTCATTTACTCAGTTCTCCTTTCTTTTTATTTTAATTTTTTACATTTTAATTATTGATGAAAGTAAGGACTAAATTGAACACATGGTGAAAGTTAAAATTTAAATTACGAATTTTTAAGGAATATAAGGACTAGTGGCATAATTTTATTATTTTTCTTTAACTTGCAAATAAAAGGGCAAAACTAAAAAATCGAACATATAAACAAATGATAAACGAACATGTTAGAGAACGCTAAACGAACATGTTAGTAAACGCTAAACGAATATATTCGCGAAGGATAAATAAACGAACACATTCAAAAATAAATAAGCGAACAAAAACACAACATTAAAAAATTAAATGAACACGAACCGAACATGAACACCTTAAAAATAAACAAACGAATATGGACATAACTTTGTTTGTTCAAGCTCGGCTCATTGATACCGCTAAAATAAATAATTAAAGATAATTTAGTAATAATTCCACGTCAACTAAATTTAAATAAATAATTTCACCATAAAAAGTGTGCAAATAATATAATAAAATGAAGTATGAATACAGTTTGAATTCATCAAATTAAGCTTCGCTTAAATAAGAAAATAAAAACACTGCCAATGTTACAAACTCAACTGCTCCGTTTCATCCTCCCATTACCTTTTACCAAAATCTCACGAAGGGGTCGAAAAGAGACTTGGGTTGGGGACCATCCCATTCCAATGATTCCCACCACTCCTTTGGTCTTATCCGAACTGAAAGATAGAAATTTGCAGATGCAGATGGTGGGACATTATCAAGTTTGGGAAGATTAAGACCCATCCTCTTTAATTTTGGACAGTCTAAAATCCCAATTTCGTCAAGAGAATCGCAAACCAGTACTCCACCAGCACTGCAAATGCTCTTCAATTCCGGTAGATCCCCCAAACTCAATAGCCGTAATTGTGGAAGATGAAACTCCGTGATAACCATTCCTCTTTCCTCCGGTTCAACTTCTGATGTTATTATTTCCTCCAATTGCTTACACCCAACAACTGTAACCCTTTGTAAATTTGGCGGCACACAGTTTGGGGAGAACAACTTTTTCATATTTCTGCAACCATTTATTTCAAGATATCTAAGAGATGAAAAGGAGCCAATTGAGAAGAGGATAAACCTGGAGAAAAGCGGGTATTCTTCACTGCAATCAACATTGCAAAACCAGATACGCAATTCCTCAATGTCACGTGGAAGCACAATCTGGTAGTTATAGATGTTACAACCCCTTGCAACAATTTCTTTTCCTTCATTTTCAAGAAACGTATGAAAGTTTACATCTCCCACGTAGATTATGTATTGACGAGGCTCTTCTCGGCCACGACAAGCTTCGAGATACATATTTAAGTTGTGCCAGTCATAAAACCTCCCTTCAAGAGTTCCCTGCAGTTTCTTCAATCCACCCACCTCCTTTCCATTTATCAGAGTTTCACCGACGATCAATTCTTGAAGACAACAGAGTCTTGAAAGTACTCCATTCGGGATTTCCTTGATCTTTGTTCCTCTAAGATCCAACTTCTTTAAAAATCCAAGATTTGACAACGATGGAACATTCCCTAAATGTTCACAATATGCAAGCAACAATGAAGTGAGGTTCTTCAAATTTGATAAGGAATGCGGAAGACTCTTGATAGGATTCCAGGAAAGATCAAGAATCTTGAGTTCATTCGCATCATCGAAGAAGCTTTCTGGAATACTTTCTATACGACAATCAGACAACAACAATGTTGTGAGCCCGGGACACTTCGAAATTCGAAGACTCTTGATAGGGTTGAAGGAAAGATCAAGAACCTTAAGTGCATCCATATGCTTGAAAAATCCTTCTGGAATACTCACCATATAGCAATGAGACAACAGCAATGTTGTGAGCTTGGGACACTTTGGGGGTGACATTTTTAAAGGTATATATAACCACCGATTCCTCATCAACGAAACTTTCTCTAGATTCATGCTCCATTCTTGCACATCTGGTGCCTTTTCTAGCATCGTGCCGGCTTTTACCAAGAATCGAGATTTTGCAATACGCAATGCCATGTCCCTTAGAAGATCATGCATCTTTACAGTTCTTGCATGTTCTTCAGTAAAAACTTCCAACAAGCAATTGCTGATGAGCCTATTCATTATTGCACGACCCTTGTCAAACTCTGCCCGCATGCTATCCATTTCTTCCACAAGCCCTTCTGCGATCCAAAGTTGAATAAGACTTCGTTCTTCAATTTCCCAATCTTCCGGATATAATGCACAACTGAGGAAACAGTCTTGAAGTTCTGGATTCTTTAAACGATCATAACTAAATTGTAATTCTTGGAACACTTTATCTTCGAATCCATTAACACTCTTTTTGCGTAGACTTAATTCTTTTAGTGCATTCCTCCATTCTGAAATGTCATCAATGCCCTTCATACAAGAAGCTATAGTAATTACTCCCAAGGGCAAACCTGCACAATGCTTAGAAACTGATCTTGCAATTGGTTCCACCCCTCGAATATCACAGCCCGCCTTCTCTAAGAACAACTTCCATGCCTCTTCTTCCGTCAGAGGCTTCACTTTAATCATTCTACAACCCACTTGTCGACACACATCAGCTGATCTTGTTGTCAACACTAATTTACTCCCATTCGACGGGTCAGGAATTCCTATTCTCTCAAGTGGAACCTTCTCCCATAGGTCATCCAAGATCATCACAAACCTACTCTTCTGAGAAAATGTTCCAAAGAGCCTCCCTGCCCTTGTAGTTTCATCTTCATCACCAGAAAATTCTACTCCAATTTTACTAGCAATGTCTTTCTGCAGTTTAGCAACATTCATCTCTTTGGATACAGTGATCCAAATCACAATATCAAATTTCCCTGTCTCTTTTAAGAGTTGGTTGTTTATAACCTTCATGATGCTTGTTTTCCCCACGCCACCCATGCCCCAAACTCCAATCTTTGGAACCTTATCATCCATCAAGCAATGCCAGATCTCTTCAATACATGCCTTTACAGCTTCACCTGATAAACTTGTTGTCAATAAAACTTGTCCTATCCATTGAGGATTGTCAACCACCAAACCTCCATGAAACTTACCATGTTGAATAATAAGTTCTTCAACTTCCGTAATACTCTTTGACACATCTTCTGTGTGACGTCCACGTGTAAGAGCAGTACTTTCGCCGATTCTTCCATCAAGGTCTTGCACTTCGCCATTGACTCTTTCAACATTTTTCAACCATATCTGGACTTCCGCCTTGAGTTTCTTTCTCGGCTGCAGCTCTGATCTCATTATAGATTCTGTGTCTTCCTTCAAACCATTCAATTCCTCCAATTTCCTTTTAAGGTCCTTCCGATGTTGATCAAGGCTTCTATGATTGTCCAAGTGTTTATCTATCTTATTCAGAACAAAGTCCATGGCTGCAAGTCACAACCCATATGTTAGAAACTAAATAATAAGCATCATTAGGTAAATGTATCTAAACATGACTAAAAATATAACTTCATTTTACTCTACAAAAATGTTTAAGAAATTATAAAGATTTAAATCAAGAAGTTTCACCCTCTCACGAATAATCAAATTAAATTAACAGAAATTTAAGAGTGTGAAATTTCAAAATTTCAAGGAACAAAATTAAATCATGAATAAAAATACAAAAAAAATCTGAATTATAAGATACTTTTTGGGTACATGGATGTCTATAAACAAAATTTAACAATAAATTTAAGGTATATTTACATAATGATTAATCAAATGTCTTTTTTTCTTTATGGTTGACAAAAAAATTTAAGGAAAGATCCTATGAATCGACCTCAATAGTAAAGGGGAGTGATGTTCTCATTAAAAGTATTGGGTTCGAGCAATTGCATTTACATGTACGTGCGTTGTTAATAATTAAAAAATATTATGAATATCTTGTAATCACCCATACTATTTTAAAAAAATTAATGTTGTTTTATCCTTTTGTTTTCTTAAATATTTCCAATATCGAAAACATGCAAATTAACAATCCAATGCAAAATTGATATAATTGTAAACTAAAAGTAATATTACAATAATTGAATAATTTATAAGGGTATTTTAAAATGATTTAGCAAAATATTCTTAGTCCAATTAATCAAAATTATATTTAATTTACATTTTAATAAAATCTATATATTTCTTTTAATGAAAAATTAAAATACTAAACGAAAACTACAAGTTAAATTCTAACCATAAGGAAATTATCATAAACAAGAAAAATGAAAATTTAATCTTAAAATAATATAAAGGAAATAATTTTAATTAAACATTTATGAGAGTATTTTAAAGAATTCAAAAAAATATTAACATTTTAGAACACAAATCCTAAATAATTTGTAGGGTAAACTACACTAGTGACCACTTAACTATTGTCAGATTTCATTTTGACCACCAATATTTCGATTTAACCAATCAGAGACCACTCAACTATTTAAATGCTTCAATCAAGTTCGTTAACTTTTAATGGAAGAGGCCATGTTGAAGTTAAAAACTTGGTATAATTGCATATTTGGTACTCAATTTTTATACATTCTATCAATTTGGTCATAATATAATTCAATTAAAATAAATTTAATCTCTAATTAGATGATGACTTGTGTCACTACCCGATTAGAGAATATTTTCTTAATTTTAATTTATTTAATTCAATGAATTTTTCATCAAATAAGGTGGTGACATGTCCCTATTAAAGAGAGAAAATAAACGGGAGGAATGCATTAGGGGGCATCAAACCTAAGACATTCTAAAGCCAAGCACACCTGAACCACTCAGCTAAGCCTCCCATTTGGTTCTATATTACAACATTTTTTATATAACTTATTTCAATTAATGATGGGAAAAATGAAGTGAAAATGATATCAAGAAGATTCAAACCTGAGATTGTAAGCATGGATGAAACAATCATAACTACCAAGTCAAATCACATATTTAAAGAAAAGTTTTAGTATCTTTTATATATTCGTATTTTTACTCAAAAATTTATTTATCTCATAATATTGTTATTGATATAAAAATAAAAAATAAAAATATTCAGATGATATTTAACTTTTAATATTTTTTTATATTTTTAAACAAAGAAAAATAAGTTTAATATTTTATTTTCAAAACCAAATTCAATATTTTTTATATTTTTAAACAAAATTCATGAAAGAATTCATTTCATATAAAAATAAAAAATATTTTTATATATTAAAAAAATAAGTTTTATATTTTTAATATTTTAAAAAAATTATATTTAATGCAAGATTCAAAAATATATAAAAAACATCGAATTCAGTTTTAAAAATAAAATACTAAACTTATTTTACTTTGTTTAAAAATATAAAAATATTAAAAATAAATAAATATCATTTGTTTAATGAATATATAAAAATACCAAAAATTTTATTTAAATATGTGATTTGACTAGGTGGTTATGATTTTTTTCATCTATGCTTACAGCTCCATATTTGAATCTCTCTGTTAGCATTTTCATTTCATTATTTTTTTTTGTCATTAATGGGAATAAGTTATGTAAAGGCTAATATGGTGTCTCAGTTTAATTCCTCCTTTAGTTTATCTTCTCTTTAATTCGGTGGTAACATGTGTCTTCATCTTCTTGGCTAAAAAATTATTAGATTAAATAAATAAAAATTAAGAAAATATCTTCTAATAAGTAGTTCTAAATATGAAAAGGAATCTATTCTACAGCCGTTTATGAGATTTGAAGAAAAAAAAGAATGTTGAAATTCCATAAATACCCCTTTTGAGAAGCTTGTTCGAAGATGATGATCGGAGAGAAGCAGCTGATGAAGAAAACGGCCAAATGAAGTTCCTTGGATTGCAGAAGAGCCGCTATTCACTCACCTGAGCTTAAACTAAGCTTCACCTTCAACACAGAGGAAAGCAGTGCGAAAGGTAACATGTATCATCATCTTATTCGATTAAAAATTTATTAACTTAAATAAATAAAAATTAAGAAAATATCATCTAATCAGGTAGTTCTCAATACAAAAATGAATCTATTCTACAGCCGTTTATGAGCTTTGAAAAAAACAGAATGTTAAAATTCCATAAATACCTCTTTTGAGAAGGTTGTTCGAAGACGATGATCGGAGAGAAGCACTGATGAAGAAAACGGCCAAATGAAGTTCCTTGGTTTGCAGAAGAGCCGCTATTCACTCACCTGAACTTAAACTAAGCTTCACCTACAACACAGAGGAAAGCAGTGCGAAAGGTAACATGTATCATTATCTTATTTGATTAAAAATTTAAATAAATAAAAATTAAGAAAATATCATCTAATCAGGTAGTTCTAAATACAAAAAGGAATCTATTCTACAGCCGTTCATGAGCTTTGGGGGAAAAAGAACGGTTAAATTCCATAAATACCTCTTTTGAGAAGCTTGTTCGAAGACGATGATCGGAGAGAAGCAGCTGATGAAGAAAACGGCCAAATGAAGTTCCTTGGTTTGCAGAAGAGCCGCTATTCACGCCCTAAATTTAAACTAAGCTTCACCTACAACACAGGAAATTTCTGGGAAAATATGAGGAAGCTCCGCTGCAACCACTTCAAAGAAATGCAAATAAATGCTTGGTTTGAAATTATTGCCCTTTACTGCTTTTAATGTCGTGTTGGTCCTACCTGTATGAAATAATGTTGGATCCGTAGAGTTAGTAGAGCGAACCGTTCATGAATTGTGGGGTGGGAAGTTCGTTTATGTTCGTTTATTGAACATGAATAAGATTTTACGTTAGTTTAATTAAATGAATGAACATGAACAAAGGGCTCGTTCGTTCATTTACATTCATGAACGTTCGATTATATGTTCGTTTATATTCGTTCATTTATGTTCATTTATGTTCGTTCATTTATATTCGAACAGAGGGTAAATTGAATATGTTACAAAGATTATTGAAGTTGTTTGGATTTTAAGAAGATTGTTTTGTTGAACAAATTAACTTTAAGACTTTATTATGTTCATATAGTTTATTTATGATTTATGTATGTTTTTATCGTATTCAAATAAATTAACTCAAAAGTTACAGGTTATATTAATGAATTTTAAGTTGTTATTCTTGTTATTTACTTTTTTTACATTCGTTTGTTGTGTTTAAATAAATTTTTTTTTTTTTATTGTTCGTTTATGTTCATTTATTGTATTCGTTTATGTTCATTCGTTCGTGTTCGTTTATGTTCGTTTATTTATTAAATGAACGAACATGAACAAGATATATTCATTAATAAACGAACATGAATAAAAAGAAATTTATTCGCTTATATTCGTATTCGTTTATGTTTGTTTATTTATTAAATGAACGAACATAAACATATATATATATATATATATATATATATATATATATATATATATGTTCACGTGCGTTCAATTCATTTAAAGGCATACGTAGAGCCTGACATTATTGACTAATGGAGTCTCTCTTCTTTCTCTAATTTTCTATGCTTTGGAAGCGGTCCCTCTTTAAAAGATTACATTATTGAATTAATTTTCAGAAAATGTCAAAAATCAAAAAAGACCCAAATCGAAAACCAATGTCAGGATCTTTGAAAAGATGGAAAGCAATAACATTGAAATAATTTACCATCAAGCATGAAATTTCTCAGGAATTATGAGAATCAAAACAAACAGAGAGTAGAGATTGAAGTTACCTGATAATTCTGTTTGCCACGGAAGAAAAACACGAAACCACCATGGAAAGGGATCAACAATTTTCCCAGAAGGGAAAGCTGGAGAAAGTGCCAAGTTGAAAGAAGGAAGCTGCCATGGAAGACTCCCAAATGTAAAGAAGATGACCTAACTTTAGTAGTATTTGTTCAAAAAATCTTAATCATTTGCCAATAAGTATTTGAATAAATTACATAACTATATTTTCTATCTTATTTTACTCAGTTTACTCTATTTATAAACGTCACGATTTAAATTTATAATTTTATTTAAGAGATCTGATGTCTCATTAGTCTAGTTGTCAGTAAAAAAATCATATATTTGAAAACATGTGTAAGAAAATGAAGAAACTATATTGACCTGATAGTGTTACCGGTGAGCATACGAATCCAGTACGAAATGGGCTTGTTTTTTCTCATCTTCTTGACTTGCTTCTTCTTGATCTTGAAGGTCTTGTGTGAATGTTGTCATATCTAAATAAATCATTATATACCTTAAGAGTTGTATTTCATAACCCAACATTCTTTGCACATAAATAGTGATAATAACCCGTCATTTTTCAAAGAAGAAAAAAAGAAGTGAAACATACACATTTTGTAAACGTAATTATTCGAACTCAGAATTTAAAAAAAAAGTAACACTCATTTTAATCATTAAGATCACTAAATTGATTAATAATAATTAATGGTCGATGAATAAAAAATATGTTAAATCTATAACGTACAGGGACCAAAATCGATTTTTAACCATTGACTAAAATTCAATAGACCAAAAAACATAAAGGACCATCCATGTAATTTACCCTAAAAATTTATTAAGTTGAAGAGTGATCTCCCCAATAAGAAATGAACGGTTGAAATCTAATCATTTCTTTTTCTTTTCTTTATTTCTTTATTTCTTGTCTCACACACCTAGTAAACGCATCTTTTAATAGGGATATTTTATATGCACAAGGACTCGAACTCGAGATCTTATTTAAGTGTATCAAATTGCTTATCACTTGAACTAATCTATGTTAATGAATCTAATTATTTCTTTAAAAACTCATTTAAGTCTCTCATTCAGGTGAAATTGTCTCAAGAATTCTGTTTACTATATAATTTATAATTTCAATCAATTAAAATCAATTATCTCACTCTTTTTTCTCTATGTTATTATCCACGTATAATTAGTTTCCAAGTAACCATTCACTTCCATATTTGTATGGAAAAAGAATAAAGATTTATCCCTAGAAAAAAAGATGACATAAATGATAGTTATTAGTAGGATTATGAATAACGTGATAAACATGATTCATATAATAAATTTTAGCGTAAACTAAGCGTTTAATATCTAAACTATTAATTTTGGTTTGTTTTAGTACCTAAACTTTTATTTATTTTTAATTATATTTAACATTTAATTTTTATTTCATTTTAGGCTAAAGGGTTAGTGTTGTCTCTATAATAAAACTCAATTTATTAATTTTACTTATATCGTATTTTCACTTCAATTTCACCCTCGAAGCTGCTTAATTGCATCAAGTTATATCGTTAATCGTTTTGGCTAATGGAACGTTAGTTTCTAGTTAGCTGGACACCAACTGTTTCCACATCAGATGAATGAAGTTGTAATTTCTCATTTTTTTTTCAACCATCTCAAAACTATATAGTTTTTAAAGTAAATATGTATCACCAATTTAAGTTTCCTTCCCCATATTTTTTTACTTTATTTTTTTCCTTCTCTAACTCTTACACCCATGCTCTCAACTCTTAGGTATGGTTACTCCACTAGTCAGCTATCGGTCACCTTTGACCATCGATGACCATTGCGTCGGCTGCTGTCGTCGACCACCGTTCGAGACCCATAACACATCATCAAAACTAGCTCGTGCTTCTCGTCATGATCGGGTTATGGCTTGTAATGGGTCGGAAATTTGTGGTTTTAATATTTAAAATATTTTTTATTTTTAATAAATGTCACATCATCATCAAGCCATGTCAACAATATTGGTTGACGTAGAAACAATTGACATCCACATAAGCATAAACAAACGGCTCCATTTGTCAAGACAATCGATGGTATAATTTGATGTAATTAAACAACTTATTTTTAAATATACAATAATGATTGAACATCTTATTTCTTTTAAATATACAATAATGTATTCACAATGTCATCAACTCTTCATTAATTATCTTACCCTATCATCGGGTTTTTAAAGTCTTCTATTTGGTAAAACAATATTATATATATGTCATTTTCGGTTAAAAACATTCTAAACATCATTAAAAATGACTAATTATAATTATTATATTTTACGATAAGTTGTGCGAAATTTAAAAAAATTTACAACCGCAACACACGCAGTGACCGCGATGCATCCGTTATGTCCGCAACCGCGATAAACGCGACGCAACCAAAAACGCGGCTGCGAACTCTAGTTAAATCCCTGATATCTAGTTCTGTTATGTTCCGAATGATATCGTTATGCTGGTTGATATTATTTTTGCATATATATATATGAACTAGATATAATTCTGAAGCTATTTTGTATATGTTGCTTGGAGTTATTGTACGCAATGTTCAAAGCTTCTCAAAGGCAGCTAATAGTTTTGAATAATATGCAGATAGATATATTGATTCAATTCTTAAATAAATGAATCCTTAACATTTAAACTTAATTAATGTGGAAATTGTGCAAATTATATATAAAATGAAAATAATTAAAGCAATCTATAATTAAATATTTTTTATTGATAAAGAACACAAGATAATAATTAAGCACTAAATTGTTATGTCTAAGTGTGAGTGCTGCAGCTGCGTAAGGGGGTGTCAGGAATCATTTTTCGCCGATAGATTTGTAACGGTTCATCTTCGCCATTTTAAAGTGAAAATCACAAATAAATTAGAATTCTAAATGAACAGAGTGTTCGATGAACTGTTCGTATAACGTTAGTTTGTTAAGCTAAATAAACGAGTATGAACAATTTTTATGTTTATTTAATAAACACACGAACACAAGCAAACAAGCTCATTTATTGACTCGTTCATTTATGTTCATGAACAAGCTCATTTACTCAGTTCTCATTTCTTTTTATTTTTATTTTTTACATTTTAAATATTGATGAAAGTAAAGACTAAATTGAACACATGGTGAAAGTTAAAATTTAAATTACGAATTTTTAAGGAGTATAAAAACTAGTGGCATAATTTTATTATTTTTCTTTAACTTGCAAATAAAAGGGTAAAACTAAAAAATCGAACATATAAACAAATGATAAACGAACATGTTAGAGAACGCTAAACGAATATATTCGCGAAGGATAAATAAACGAACACGAACACATTCAAAAATAAATAAACGAACAAAAACACAACATTAAAAAATTAAATGAACTCGAACCGAACATGAACACCTTAAAAATAAACAAACGAATATGGACATAACTTTGTTTGTTGAAGCTCGGTTCATTGATACTGCTAAAATAAATAATTAAAGATAATTTAGTAATAATTCCACGTCAACTAAATTTAAATAAATAATTTCACCATAAAAAGTGTGCAAATAATATAATAAAATGAAGTATGAATAGAGTTTGAATTCATCAAATTAAGCTTCTCTTACATAAGAAGATAAAAACACTGCCAATGTTACAAACTCAACTGCTCCGTTTCATCCTCCCTTTACCTTTTACCAAAAGCTCACGAAGCGGTCCAAAACAGACTTGGGTTGGGGACCATCCCATTCCACTGATTCCCACCACTCCGATTCTATATCAATTGAAAGAGAAAGATTTGCAGATGCAGATGGTGGGACATTATCAAGTTTGGGAAGATTAAGACCCATCCTCTTTAATTTTGGACAGTCTACA